CTGTCCCCGGGCTCGGCCGGGGCGCCGCCCTGGAACCCGAATCTCTCGCACCGGCCTACCCCAGGGCCTGGGTCGTCCTCGTCGTGGGGGCACTGCCCCCTTTCCTGAGCTCCATCTGCCTTCCTCTTGTAACACCGCGAGTTTACAGCTGTTTTGTTTGTTTTCCTTTTGATCTGATGTATCTAAAGCCATAAGTACTCAGCTAGAATTGGCAAACAGGTTATTTTTAGTGGAGTTTATGCCTACATTCAAGATACTTAATTGTAATATTTAAAAATATGAAGATGATGTTGCGAGGGAGGTTATAGCTCAGTGGTAGAGAGCGCACTTATCATGCATGAGGTCCTGGATTCAATCCCCAGTACCTCCATCAAAATGGATAAATTTAATTACCTCCCCTTCCAATATATATAAAGATGATGTATAAAAAATACCTTTAAACTGTTCCTGGAGAGAGTAATTCTGTAGTAATGTCAAGAATGACTAGCACCTGCTGGTGCACTTGTTCAACAGAGACCTCGTGAGCAGTGTGCATTTACTCCTTCTTGGTGGTGGGTTGATGTGAATTAGCTGTTGGTGTGTTTTAGATGTCGGCTTTGCCGGCAGGACCACCAGCCACAGGCGTGATGGGCCATAGACTGTCCCTGCCATACGGGCCTAGGCTCACCTCCTTTAGGAATGAACTGCTACTTGTCCGAGGTCCTCTGGGATGCATCTGAGCTCTCTGTGCTTTCTTACAGTTGGAGACAGACAACTACAGATAAAGAAGAGGCGATGGGAGACGGTCAGGTGTCCGATTTGAAGGCATTCTTGGTAAAGGATAAGACTGCCCTCACAAGGTAACTGAATAGTTTTGGGAAGAAGTGACCTTTGCTGGGCAAATCGTGATTTGTATTAATGAGCCGGTCTAGGTCTTGAAACAGCCTGGTCTAACTGATCCCATCCCTGCACTTGTGGAAGATGCGCTGGGGGTTGCGTGTGCACAAGGACACGAGCCAGGTGGAGTGGAGCAAGGAGCCTGGTGTCGGGCTGGAGAGGAGAGAGGCCAGCGGTCCTGTCACTTTTCTGTGCAGTGTGTGTTTCTTCAAGTCAGAGACACCATATCTGTGTTGGCTTTGCATTTCCACCCTTGGTAATCACATTACAATATTGCTATATTTCAATAAAAAATATTTCTTTCACTAAAGGAAGAGGGGGAATACTGACCAGCTGAAGCTGGAAAACCCAAAGAAACAGAAAGTGAAGGAGCCAAACCAAAAGAATCAGGGAAGATGTGGGAAAGACCAGGTTTGATCCTTTTATTTACTGTTAACGTTCCATTTTTAAACTTACAGTCTTCGGTGTGTTACAGCTTTCTCTTTTCTTTTTTGCCCATAAGCCTTTTTCAGTTTCCATGTCATTCTGATAGTTCTAAAAATACGCATTCTGTGTTCACGTAAAGTACATTTCCCCCCCGTTTCGGCAGGTGTGCTGCCTCCTGTGTTGTGCCTGGGCTCAGAGTCAGTTTGAGGAGCGGTGGGTTTAGTGAGGCACTGATTGGAATCCTTTGACTCGGCTGCCACCACCTTTCTGCTGAGTTCTGAGGAATGGGCAGCCACTGGCTGGGGGTGTCGTGGAGGCCTGGACCTGACCTGCTCGCTTCCTACAGGTCATGTTCTCCCCAGGTGTCACGTGCAGGACACATTGGTGGTGGTCTGCTTAGTGTCTTAACAGAAGTTCTAACCATTTATTGCCACACAGAGACGTTCCTGAGTAAGTGAACTCTGTATTTTCCTGTGACTTGTAGCTGTGCCTGAAAGAAGAAAGTACATTCTCTGTTTCAAAAGATACCAGGCAAGGTTCATTTTGTGTCCCTTCTCTGTGCAGGAGGTGAGGTGGAGATAGTGAGGATGGGGCTGCAGGAGCGGCAGTGACACCACCTTTTGTCCAGAGTCCGGCCTGGGTAGTAGAATTAGAACCTGCACTCCCTGTTTTTAACCAGTCTTTGCTTTCACTCAAGCAGAGTTAAGAATCCAGTAGAACCATAGAGCAGTTGGTCACGTGAGCTGCTGCCTGCCACAGAAATCAATCTCTTGCATGTTCTGTGAGAGCAGAGGAAGAAGGCTGATGTCCTGAGGACCGGCCCCTGCCTTAGCTGCCTCCTTTTTCTTTTTAATAAAAATCAAAAGTAATCGTAAACTAGGTAACAATCAGTGTAACCACATCTTGTCCAAAGACTAGAACCAAAAACATTTTAAAAGGCATTAGGCGTACAGTTGTCGCTGACCTCCCTTTACCTCCCCTGTCTGGTTTCTACCACGTTCTTGTGTCAGGTGATAGTGTCAGTAGCTCCCTTTGTCCAGTGGAACAAAGGAAAAACCTCATGGAAAAAACCATGGTAGGTTTTGCTTTGGGAGCTTCAGTGCTGGAAACTGCACGGCTGCCTGGCAGGGCTTGTGCGCCAGTTGGTGAGGAGCGGGGTCTGAGCTCTACAGTTAATTCAAGCGGTGTTGCTCTAAGTAGTATTTCCAGTTTGGGGTGAATCACTTGGCCTTGGAGAACAGAAGTAGTCTAATTGGATGTTTTCTCGGAGTTTGTTAGTTCCCTGTAATCTGCTCTCGGGGAAGATGGGCCGCTCCCTCTCCTGACTGCCCCTCGCTCCTACCTCCCGTGTGCCCTGCTGTGAGCCATGGGCGCACTGCTGTGTGGGCGCGTGGGTCCGCAGGCCCACGTGCAGCCAAAATTGGGACTGTTACGGTGAAATGTCTCAAGTGTCCAGCGTTGTTGAAATCTGACAAAAGTGCTTGGCCAGACAGACAGAAACGTGTGGCCCAGGAGCGGCACGGGGCCCTTGGGCGGCCCCCGAGCCATGGATGGAGGCGGGATTGCTGCTGCGCCTCCTGCTCTGTTCCCGCTCTTGCCTTTCCCTTGTGCGAGATGTCAGAGATTTGGGGAGACTTTCCTTTCCTGTTTGTTTTTATTGTGATAACAATCATGTGATGTAAAATTCATTGTTTTAGCCATTTCAGAGTGTTCAGTTCAGTGGCATTAAGTATATTCACAGTCCTGTGTGACCATCACCACTAAGTCCAGAATTTTTCATCACCCCAAAGGGAAAGCCCCTGTTTTCCCCTTCCCCCTAGCCCCTGACAACCACTAATCAGCTTTTTGTTTCTATGGATTTGCCTTTGCTGGATATTTCGTGTAAGTGGCTCATACAGAATTTGTCCTTTTGTGTCTGGCTTCTTTCACTTAACATGTTTTTGAGATGCATCCACATTGTAGTGCATGTCAGTACTTCATTCATTTTTATGGCTGAAGGTGTTTTACTGTTTGGATATACTACCTTTTGCTTGTCCATTCATCTGTTGATGGACATCTTGGGTGAGTTCCACCTTTGGTCGCTTGTAAATATTGCTGCTGTGAGCAGTCATGCGCGGTATGCGTGTGAACACCTGGGCATGGAGTTGCTGGGTCTCGTGGTGGTTCTCTGTCGCCTCGTTCAGGAGCTGAGACGCTGGTTTCCGGGATGTCTCCTCCACTGTACGTACGGTCCCACCAGCAGCGTGAGGAACTGGATTCCCCCCCCACCCCTGTGCCCACACTTGTGCTTTTCCATCTTTGTTGCTGTAGCCATCCTAGTGGGTGTGAAGTAGGCTGGTTTTGGGTGGTCAGTCAGCTGGCCTTGCCCTCAGAACCTAGTGCCTGCCCCACCCCTGGGCCCTTCCATGCGACTGTTTGGGGGGGCAGTGGAGGTTGTGCCCCATTCCTGCCTAGGCCTTATGTCTGGTCTTCTCTCGGTTTAGCTTGGGTTTTGTTTCTGAATGTGTTTTCTCACACTTACTACTTCTTAAAGGTTACTTCTGAAGGACTCTTTTTTTCCTTTTTGTTTTTCCAATCTTTTTCTTTTTTGTGGGGAGGGTGATTAAGTTTATTTATTTATTCATTTTCATTTATCGTTTAAACACAGGTATGGGGGATTGAACCCAGGACCTTGTGCATGCTAAGCATACGCTCTGCCACTGAGCTGTACCCTCCCTCCAGAAGGACTGTTTTTCTAAGTTCATGACTCCTAGGCAGTCATAGTATGGATGGGGCAGGCCTGATGGGTGACGGGGCTGGCTCCACCGGCCACTCTTTCCACAGCCTCAGGAGGTCTCCCACTGGCAGGAGACGGGCCAGCTTTCATAACTTCCAGCAGCTCAGTAGTGCCAGACTGGAGCTGTGCTCATTAACCCCTTGCCCTCGGGTGTCCTGTGAATATGCTTATGTTTACCAAGCATATTATGAAGAATAGGAAAAAGCCCCTTAAAAAGGTGGGAGACTTCATAGTCTCCAATGTTGGCTATTTTGAATCTTTCCTTCTGATTTCAAAATGGTAGGCTTTCTAAGTGACGGGAGACGTAAATATTTATGAGTTTGTATTCTAGATCTGCACAGACCACCAAGCCAGTGAAGACGAATAACCACGAAAAGACATCCAAGAAAAAAGGCCAGGTAAGCATCCTCAGGTGCGATATTCATGACCGACTGTAGGCATTCTTGCTTGCGTGATGTTTGTTCTTGAAAATACGAGAAGACAACGAATGGCCTTATGTCTTAATGGTCTGATAGGAATTTATTGTGAAACGAGTCTGAGGAGCCTAGCGGGGGTGGGGGGGTGGCATCGGAATAGCTCCTCCTCCCATGCCCTTCCCCAGAGGTATTTGTGCCCTGAGGCGAGTGCACTGTCCTGGGTTCCCCTCCTGCCATGGCCACAAGGGCTGAGACAAGCCGTTTTCCAAAGCTCCATCAGAGGCAGTAGAAATGCAGGGTCTGGGTGTGGGTGATCCTCTGATGCAGGGGAGGGCAGAGCAGGATGTGGCGAGTGAAGTGGTCACTGCGGGTGTGTGACCCTGTGGGCACTGCCTGTGGCGTGTGGCCCACTCATGGTGCTCTCTCTCCTGTGCACGGTTCTGAGGCCCTGGAGACCAGAGGAAGATGGCGCTTGGTGTTCACCAGGTGTCCTCTGGGGACAGGACTATGCGGGCCAGCACCCCGGGAGTGGGAGAGGAGGAGCTCGTGGATGCAAGCCAGGGAAAGGACGGGGTGAAAGTGAAAGGCAGACGGAAGAAAAATAAAGAGAGAAAATTGGAAGAGAAAAGGCAGGAAGGGCTTGAGAAGAAAGGCACTGGGATACAGACCAGGACATGGATGCTGCAGAAGGGTGGCGGGGACCGGAGGGGCCGCACGGCTGCGGCAGGAGGGCGGCTGCACAGAGGGGCTGCGGGCTGGGAGCCAGCAGGGAGGGTGCGCAGCCCGTGGCCAGAGAAGCGCCCCCGACAGGGAAGCTGGCCACACTGGAGGGGTGGGAGGCTTGGTGGCGAGGAGGCAGTCACAGGGTGAAGATGAGGAGGGGGAAGACACGTGGGCTGAAGAAACTAAGAAAGAAGAAAATGAAAAATTCGGAGCAGGTAACGAGTCCGCAGCAGAGACTGCGGTTTCCAGAAAAGACAAAAGAAGGAAGAGGGACAACGCAGGTGGGGCAGGAGCTCCAGAAGCAAAGGAATGGAGACAAGGAGATGGAGAGCCGGATGGAGAGCCGGGGACGGATGCACAAGCAGAGAGGGCAGTGCGGTGTGGATGCCCGCGGTGTGGACACGGCCCTCTTGGAAAGGACGTGCAGCGGGAGAAGCCATGGAAAGAGGAGAGGAGCTGGTGTGGGCCGGAGCAGGACGGGGGCCAAGAGGAGGAGGAGCCGGCTGGTGAAGCATCCGGAGAGAGAGACGGGAAAAGGGACCGCGAGGCCACCAAAGGGCCGGACACGGGAGAAGGCAGGTGCAGATGGTATGTCCGTTGCGGCCCCGCCCACAACCGGCACCACCCTGCAGCCTTGGCCCCGCCCCTGCCCCGTGTGCATCTCTGCCTGCAGGGGTCTCTGGCCTCTTTCAGGCCTGGGATGCTGGCTGTGGGCCTGTTGGGAAGGGCTGGTGGGGAACTCCTGAACGCTGCAGTGCAGGAGCAGCTCTGAAATGTAGGTTTCACCAGGTGCTGTCGAGAACCAGTATTCACTAGCACCCCTGAGATGATGAAGCGCTTGCTCTGGTCTGCATCGTTTTAGCCAGCCACTGGTGAGGCAGGTGCTGTTATCTAAACTTTCCAGATGAGAAACCAAGGCACAGAGAAGTTAAGTAACTTGCCCATGGTCACACAGCCACTAAGCAGAGGAGCAGACATTGGACACTGTTATCTTAATCATTACCCCTGGGCTGTCCCATTTGCAGCCACCAGCCACCAGCCACATGTGGCTTTGAGTGCCTGAGATGTGGCTGGTCCCAGTGGTGACATGTTGTGGGTATAAAATGTATGATGATTTCAAATAGTAGGAAAAAAGAATGTGCACTAACTCACCAATTTTTTATACTGGTCACTTTGTAATGGCAGTATTTCAGATGTATTCATTGAGATTAAGTATATGTTAAAAATCAAAACTCAAATTCACCTGTTTCTTCTGGTTTTTAGACAACTTAAAATCCACATGTGGCTAGTGTCACGTTTCTGCTGGGCAGTGCTGCTTCATACCTTGTGAAGGGGTGACTACAAATCGCGTTGCCAGCTTCAGGGTCAGAATAGTCTTTACTGGTATCATCAGCTCCTGCATTCAGCAATGGTGTGATTCTGGGGGAGTT